CTGTGACTGGCTGTCAGCAGCACACAGTGGTGCGAGGTCTCTTAGCTCTGGGAGTGTTCCTATGACTGATTGCTCTCCAACTCAGACTGATCTGCAGCAGGCCTTCTGTTCTATATGTGTGATCTGTGTTTTTACCCGAGCCTTGCTCACGTTTAAAAATACGCACTATTATTTGGCAGCAGGCTTTAGAAGATACTCCATAGACATTGTGCCACCCGTCTGTCCTGCTGTTAATTAAAAACATGGATTCTAACTTTGTCCAGTGGTTACTTACACCACAGCGTAAAAACAGATACGAAATGTCTGGCATCTGCCTTCTCACAGCCATGGAAGAATGCTACAAGCAGAGGGAGAGAGAGATGCTTGGGGTATCAGCTGTCAGGTCTAGACATGATTATTGCCCAGGATTACTGGCATAAAGAAAGCACCTGTTTATCTCAGCAGAGAACTTCACAGCCACTATTCCGTGCAGTAATTTTGCCTGGGAAAAAAACAGAGGCTGAACATCGCTGTCATCAAATCTGCTGGCACAGCACTGCCTCCCTGGAAATGTTGGCCACAGCTGATTCTGTATTTAAAGAGGGAAATCTTAGCCTTGTACTGGTATTTTCTATCATGCTATGTAAGCTATGATGCTATATTTAGGTTTATATAGTTACTGCAGGAGAGTTTTGTGCTGCATTTGTCTCATGAGTACTTGTGGTAAAGACAAAAGAGAACTACTCCAGTTACCCATAATACCCACTCTTACTCATACAGAAAGCAGCATTTATTTACATAATTCAGGCACCATCACCACAGGCTCATTCATTTCACCTGATAGAATCCTGGAACATTCCAAAATTCAGGAGAGGCCCTTGGTAGAATTAACACACTCAAGGAAAATATCACCAAACCCAATTTTTATACAGCACCAAAAACAAAGTCAGATTTTGAAACAGTGTCTACAGGAGTAGTACTGGCATATAAAAATATGGAATCAATAATTGGGGTTGGAAAGGACCTTTAGATCAGGTTGAAGGTCCCAGCCATTGAGCTGGGACTTCCCAGTCGCTGCCACAGGGGGACATGGACAATGCACATCCCAACTGCAATCACTGCACTTTGTGAAAGCTGAAGAGAAAGGAGTTGGAAAGAAAAAGTGCAATAAAAAGACAATTTAGGAAAGTGAGAAGGAAGCAGCTTTGAGGAGGAGTTTGCTAAGGGTGTCTCTGTGCAAACTGCTGAGCTAGGTCCCTTTCTGCCCTATGTTGTGACAGCTGAAAACACTTCTACTTTCAACTTGCACAATAGCAAACAAGTGATGCAGAGGATGACCTCTTACCTCTGCAGGACACAATGTGATGATGCGTGTTCACCACAACCAGAGCAAGAGTTGAGTGAGCAGCTGCAACACCCCAGGACACGTTTGACTGATGCCTTTTCACCCCCCAATGCATGCTCAGCACGAAGCCCGAGTCCATCAGGACCAGTAATATTTAGCGCTGTGGTGTCTAACAAGATTCCTGGACTCAATGCTACTACTCAGGCTTCAGCCAGGTGAAATGGCTCCAGCTGCCCACAGGTGTTCCCTGAGTCAGTGGGAGTTATAATCCTTGTGAGTCCTTCAAACCTGCGATATTCTATTGTGGGTTTGTTATTTTCCCTCAGTAGCTCAGTGTCTTCCCTCCAAGTTGCTGTTGAGAGTCAAAGGTTGGGTGAATGGGGTGCAGTGGTGCACATGGTTTGTATCAGCATGCAGCAAGATGAAGTTGGTCAGTAACTAAGCAACGAGTCGCCCTACTGGTGACCACCTGTGGATTTCATAATGAAAGACTGTCCTGCCACACATCAGCCACAAGCAAACCTTATGGATGGGAAAAGTCTTTTGAGGTACATGGTAAATGGAGCATAGTGGACCCATGACATGTATCTCTGAAGAACAGGAATTCATTATGTCTGGAGTTGGAGCAATAAGTGTTTTGGGTAACACCCATCCTACTCAGTGCACGCAGACTGGCAACAGCAGAATTCAACTGGTGGTTTGCAATGCATCCAGAGCCACAAGAGGCAGTCAGAGAACGTGTCACATTTTTATAAATTAATTTATATATAAATGAATAAGGAATGATCTTAAGTACAGCGTTAAGTGGAATTTCCACTTATCCTGTCAAACTCAAGTAACAGAAAGAGTAGAAAGAGGGGACGGACTAATTAAACAACAATTCAAATTGAAAAATGGCAGTGCTAATTGGGGAAGAAACTTTACAGAAGGCCAAGCAAATGTTGAATGCACATCCGTTCACACCAGTGACCTGCTAGGTAGAAGTTTGGAACAATTCCCTATGCTAAAATACCAGCAGGACAATTTCAACAGCATACCATGGCATCTAGGAGTGCAGATGGGAATTCAACATCAGTCACTTGGAAAACACTTCAAATGTATTTATTTGACAACTATATCCCCTGCACTGAGGAATTCAGCAGTTGGTGCAGTAAGAAGTTGGTAACAAACAAGTGAAACCCAAGCAAGCCAAAATCAACCAGTGGAACCAGCGTATTCACACAACCACCCACATCAGTCTTACTTTTTGCTCAAGTGGCAGTAGGCCGTATCCAGGAATCCGGACTTGGGTGGAACAGACTAATGTTTGTTTTACAGATGGAGACACAGCCCCACAATACGATCACTGAAGAATCTATGAAGTTTGTCTTCCTATACAATTGCATGCATGTAACAATTCTGCCACACTGCCAGACACGCTCCGTCCCAGCAGCACACAACTGAGGATGAGGGGCTGTGGGAGAGCACCTGTCACTGTCACCTTCATCAGCACCAACCTGTTCCTCGAGGGACCTCTGGGGCTGGTGACCAGCCTCAAAGGTCTGTCAGTGGCAACAGCAGCACGAGGGAAGGTAGCTGACAATCTTGGAAAGTTCTCTTAGTCTTTAGCTGATGGGAGGTTTTAGGCAGCAGGTTGTTTGGAGCCAGTAGTGAGACTGGTGTAAAGGCCTGCTGCTGGACTTGTTCCTGTCCCAGCCACCCCTTTCAGCATTTTGCAATTTCTGAGGAGCAGAGATTGGCTGGAACCTGCTGGGTCCAGCAGGTCTGCCGTGTCAGCTTCATGTTCAGCACAGGACAGCTGGAGCCACGCGTGGGCCAAGGGAGGCCTTCCCACGCTGGTGCTGGGTCAGGGCTTGTTTGTTCTGCCAAAGCACCGCGGCGTCATGATCAGCAGAGGGAGCCTGCTGATGGCTGAATCTGGCCTCAAAAACACCGACTTCATCAGCAAACCCAGCGGCTCTTCCAGCAATCTGGTACTTCAGAAAGATGCGTGCTGGTCAGATGGTGACTTGTTTTTATTTCTGATCACCACTGCACCTCCAATACTGCTTTGATACATCCCGACTTTCATATCAGCCAACCTGGGGAGCCAGAGCAGCTTCACCAGCTCTCTGTCCTTGTGAGCCTTTTCACCAGTGCAGGTGCAGCACATGCACACTTACCCTGCAACCTCCCTGCACTCACTTCTCCCACACAACTAGGCCAGAGGATCTTGGGCAGTCAGGAACACGGCTGGATTTTCACCTTTTGGATTCACACCAAGGTCAAAGGAGAACTGGTATTTTTCTTGCCCTCTAATAAAAGCACAGCAGGGACCGGAAGAGCATTACAGCACCCCACCACCCCACCAAGACACAGCCAGCCTTACATACTTGTGTGACACTCATTTCCACAGCACAGGTACCATCCTGATTACTCATGGAGGAGCAAGAAAGGAGTTCCCATTTCACTCATGTTCAGCCCATGATGAGGTATTTGGGGGGGAAAAAATAAATCTATTTATTTAGTTGTGCTTGCATTATTCTTTATCAAAAGCAGGAAGCAAATTGAGGTAAAATCACGTACTTCTGTCATTCTGTATAACTGGGAACATGCACACAGACGCTACATCTCCTAACCATGACCCAGTGCCACACAGAAGCCTCATCCAGTATCCAACCATCACAACACGAACTCCAGATCATGGGAAAATAAAAACGTACCACATAGCAAAGTATTGCCAACTTCAACTTTAATAATGGAACCATCACTTGCCATTTCATTAATAACTTTTAGGGGAATAAAAACTTCCCTATAAAAATAAAACTAAGCTTGTCAAAATTATAAATAGTTTAATGCTTGTTTGTCTTTAAAGACATATATTTTCATGTTTCCCTGCATTCCCCTCCTCCCACCCCCCCTTCCCCAACCATCTGATCATTCTGGTACCATCACAGATAGAAATGAAAACAGTTCTGCAACAAAAGCTTTGACAGTTTAATTTGATGCTAAAATTAAAAAGAGAAAAGGTGGCCAGGGATGACCATTACTTTTCTTTAAATTAAAGCTGTTGTAATTGCCAGTGTGTAAAAAATAATAATAACAATAATAATAATAATTAACCCCACACATGACATCTTACAATAATTAACCATGGACTAAGACAAAATTAAAATATAGTAAGCCATTTTGGTTCTTGCCCCTTCTCCCCCAATTCAAAACTCATAGTGCATACAACACTGATTGAGGTTTTTGGCTGAAGTAAATGTAGATGTGCCCACTTAAAAGACTGATAGTTCAGTTCAAGTAAAAACAAAATTCACATATTTTTATACTCCACATTTAGACTCAAACAGTGTTTAAATCTGAGCAACAAATGGTTCAACATTAACAGCGATTATGTAAAGATTACATCGTTACGAGCAGGCATATAAATAAGTAGATGTTAAAGAATACTCATGGACATGCTGCTGCTTCATAGAAAAAACAAACCGTAACAAAACAGAAAAGCATTCCCTGAACCATTATAAAGTGTCTCACTTGAGGATAATGTTACTAACTCACACATGCACTACAATGTTACATGTGAAATTAAGGAGGAAAAAAAAAAACAAAAACAAGATATGCCATGTAGATACTTTATAGTTAGTCCTACTTTCAATTTCTCTTAACACTTTAAAACATTATGATTGTCAAATTCTTTTTTTTTTTTTTTTTTTAACCAAAAAACACCTGTGAAGAGTTTCAAAAAAGAAGTCTAAGGAAAGGAAACAAAGGCACAGTTACATCAAATTAAGGTGATGACCAGAAGCATCGTGGAGTTTCACACAGTATCCATTAGATGTCGCCAAAGTTCTAACAATTCCTTGGGAATTCAAAATGAACATCCTAGGAACAGAGGAAAAAAACCCACCCAAACAAAACGAAACACAACTCACCACCAACTTCTGCAGTTCAGCCTATAGCACTTCCCCCACCTCACCTCCATTATATACAGCTCATTTCCTCTCTGGTGTGGTAATGACTGGATTATGGGTTACCTGACCTGCCTTATGCCTCTATTGCACTCCCACTTCTTTGGTTTCTTTCCAGCGTGCTTTTTAGATAAATAACTCTGAAAGAACCACAATTTTATTTACAATAAAGTAAAATGTTTTCTTGCTACATTTTTCCTACATTTAAATCAAGTAAATCAGCAGTGTACAGAATTTGGTAATCAGGTGTTCAATTAAGGATTTGAAAAAATATGAGAGAGAAAATCTTCCAATTACTAAAAGCAAGAGTTGCTAGGATTGGTCACCAACACAGTCAGTATAATTTAATTTTCTGTTATGCTGGAAACATGAATGAGGAACTCTTACTTCCTTTGCCTGACTGAGCCTTTAACAGATGAGGAAGCAGATGAAGCTGTTTTTGTCTCTCAGATACGACAATTCAAGATTATCCAGCCTAAAAATGGACTGCTGAGCCAAAGGAAAGATCTGACTTACAACAAAGACCAAACGCATCTGTAGTTACAGCTTGGATCTTAAACACTCACTAGGATGGGTATTTCTCACAGAGTTTTACCTTAGGTAACATCCGCATTTCAGAATTCAAGTAAGCAGCCACTTGGTTAGCCTTGCTGCGCTTCCCAACCCCCCATTACACATTTATGGAACTAGCTTCTCCAATTGTGACCTCTGTGCAGCTCCACTTCCATTCTTATTCAGCTTTTGCCTCTTTTTCCTTCCCAATTTTTCTATCATCTTTATTTCTTTTCCAGTGTGGATTTACGAAATTAAGAAGCCCTAAAACTTAGTCACAATATTACAACATCCTAAAACTTTACTCTTGTAGAATTAGTATTTTAACTTTCCTCTGTATAAATACTATTTCTATTTAAAACCAGTCCTTCTCCATCAGCTATTACACTTTTCCTGCCCTAACTCTAACCCTCTCTTCAACTTTCTCCTTACCTTCTCTGGGAAGACTACCTGAAAGCCTTCCACAAATTTCACAGAACAAAACATAAGGTCCATATGCCTTCCATCTATAACAGTTCTCTCACAAATTATACAGTAACTATTTGAAACCAGAAAGGTAGTGCAAATCAATTTCATCTCAAAGATAGTGCTCCAACTGATTATTTTCCAGATAGATTTATTCATTTTTTAAACCAATCAATTTGCACCTCCTTACTTGTAAAGCTACCATTAAAGCAAAGAAGAAAAAAAAATAATCTTATTTCATAGCATCCTAGTAAATTGATTACAGTTTCACAGCTTGCACCAAGATTACTTGGAAAACTCTCTAGGCACACAGAGGGTTGCAAACTGATGTACAAACATGCAGAATCCCTTACACTTGTGGGTGCGAGATGCTAAGTGACCTGGCTTATGGAACTAAGTCTATAGCAAAATTCAGGTACCCTAGCATCACAAAACAGCCTTCTGAATAAAGAAAACTACTCTTTGCTGCTCTTTTGTACTTTGGGTTTGGCATGCTATACTGACATTTGGTTGTGTGCATTTTTCCTGAGTGTGCTTTGGCCCCCTTTTTAACCAGGTTTCCACACCCCACCAAGGGCTTCTTCAAGTTTGTCCCTGTAAGCTGCGTAACGCTTCTTTAAGATTTGCAGTTGCTCGTTCTCCTCTTTGTCCAGTATACGCAAGAAGTTTTGCAGTTCAGGAAGGCTGAAAGCTTCCCACTGTAAAGACAGAGAGAAAACGACAGATGAAATAACAGGAAATGCACAAAGCATTTATTTACACACAGCATTTATTTACACACAGCATTTATATACACACAGCATTTATATACACACAGCATTTATATACACACAGCATTTATATACACACAGCATTTATATACACACAGCATCAGGCACCCTACTCGCAAATCTTACCAATCTGAAAACGTTTAACTCTTTTATGCTGTTTTCTGTTCTGAAAGCCCTAAAACAGCAGGGCAGCCCAACCACAGACTAAACCCTTATAAAAAGCACAAAATAACTATCAATGAGAAAAAAACAAAGCGTCCCAAAAAACCAGATCATCACGTCAGCGCAGATCAAACAGGATCCCACTCATCCACGACGTTAAAGGACCAAAAAGCGGAGTGTAACATACCATGACCTCTCCAGTCTCGTGCTCACGTAGAACAAAACTGAGCATTTCTGTCCTGGGGCCTGCCACCAAACGCAGGTAGAGGGGATGTTCTCTGTCGGACAGCTTGCATATATAAACTGCAGGAGAAGTGACAGAAATTAACCATCTTTAGTAATGATGTTTGACATGTTTTGAATGATTAGTGCTGGCCAACGTTAGAGATGTGCAGAGATCTGCACCTGTAGCCACAAATTTACACATTCTTCAAGCTCTTTTTGAACAAACGAGCTTTAGGGATGGCAGCAGTACAAGGCTAAAATCAAATATGAATGAAGCGGCTTCTAGTCAACACAGGATCTGAATGTATGCGGGGGTGGGAGGAGGAAATACAACACAGCTCTGTAGCTATAAATAAGTATTTAAAACATCACAGCTGTGGTATCATCATTCTGAAACTCCTTTTTTCCAGACAGCCAGAAACATCTGAGCTCCTGAAACCGCTGTCAATATCTGCCTACAGAAGGTAGGCTCTTAAATGTACTAACAACGCTGGCAAAAAGTGTTTTTCCACTGAAGATAACTTCTGCATCTTCTGGATTTCCAAACACGATATACATCTAACTTTTTTGTCAGACGGTTCAGAGAGCATCCCATGCACCAAGTATCCCACGCATGCCCACAATGCTCATCACTCAACAGCTGCCTGTCCGAGAAGGGACTGCAGGTATTGCTGACATGATGATTTCTCTTTAAAACACCGTCCTCTAATTCAGTCTCACAGGTCTGTAGTGTTGAAATTTAGAGCCTGATAAAGGGGGCACTTTAAATGAACACACTGCACAGCAAGGGAGATCCATGCAGATGCTTCAGTGGGTTCTCCTGACTTTTGTGAAATATCCCCACTGCACTGACTCTCTTATTGCGCATGCTACTTTTCCAAAGAAAAAAAGAGTGACTAAGACTGCCACGTCCCTCCATCTTTTTTTCTTCCACCCTGTTTATTTCAAGTGCTCCTCTAGCATAGATCCCCACACATCACTTTGTCACCCAAATGTCCTAAGTCTAACCTTGGTCTTCTTTGTGACAGCGTTTGTAAAGTGCAAACTTTGCAGGGTTGTCAGCAACAAAAAACTTTTTGAGCAAGGCCTCAATAACTTCACGGACAGTATTGGTGCTGCTGATGTGAAGTGTATTCACACAGTCGTTCGGCAGGTAAAAAGCAGTTTCGTTATTGCTGTGAGCACACGTTCCCTGGCCGGGAGAAGACTGCACAGTGATCGGTCTGCATAGTTCCATCTGAACTTTGATGAAGCCAGTGTAAATCCCATTTGAGTTCTGCAACAGGAAGAGAAACCGCAAACGCTTAAAATCAGCAGTGAACAATTGTGACATATGAGTGTAGGAGGAAGACTGAAGAGTGAGAGATCGCAAATGCCACTGTAACACACGACACCTCCTAGGAAAGATTCCCTTTCAATAATTCATATTACTCAGCAGGAATACCAGCAGGAATAAAATTAATACCTGCCTTAACAGTAACAGCTGAGCTCTGCATCTATTAGATCTTGACTACAAAGTATAAGTCCGTTAGCATGTATTTCTAACTATATATTTGAGGAGTAAATAAAGAAATTAATCTCCCTACTTTTCAGCTGCACTTGTCAAATTATTTTATGGTATTTAAATGCTCAAATCTTGTTGCAATTCAAAAATAAACAGAATAAATGTCAATCTAATGAGCATTTTCAATTATTTTTTCTGACTGCATCTGAAGGAAAACAGCAAAATTGTTCACACGTTACTGAGCTACAGAACTTGTGAATGTGAATGTTATTATGGTCTGGAGAAGGTCAGACTGAGCCCTGGACCTGACACATAGTACTTGGAAATTAGAAATCTATCTGCATTCAGTTGTCCATATAACGTGCATGGAAAGGGCAGCAGTAAGAAGTCTCCTTGTGCTGAAAACCTATAGGACTGCTCTGAGCATTAAGTCTCCTGTAAGAAATACTGCAAGTTCTTGCTTCTCTCAGTTGTTTGTGAATCTGTTAAAGAGATGCTTGAAAAAACATTTATAAACCCAAACAGAATGAATATGTTCTTGTTTACCAGCTGAAGGGTTTTCATCTGACAAACTGACATCTTGGTGTTAAAGCGGAATTTAATCTTAAATGCATTTCAAACACTCAAATTTGCCTCCTCTACAATTTGTTTCCATTCACATAAAAAAGTGACATGAATAAAAATATTCCAGATGTAAGATTTATTTGCAGATCTAAGAAAAAGCCTTCTACAGAGTCATTAAACCAGGCATGGGTTTGCATGTAAGATGCTAAGAATAAAATGATTCATTATTCACTATGAAGTTACCGTGCAATTGCTCCTATTGTAAGTTACAGAAACCCTATGCAAAACTTACCAAGGTCATCTTCAATTTATCAGTGACAGATGAGTTATAGCTTTGTATCTTCTCTTTAACTTCTTCTTTACTGAGATAAACATGTGGTTCGGTCTCCTTCTGATCATCCTTCAACAACAACAGCAGAGAGTGGTTTTAGAAAACAAAATAAAGAACACTTCTCTTACGATGTGGGATCTGAGCCTTCCCAGTCTGGGTGACTCCACAGGGCTCAATGCACATTAACCATCTGTACAGCAAAAGAAAGGCTGAGCAAGTTAGGTGAGTCAAGGGGAAAACTTGGACTGAATGGAGATGGTTAAATCAACACACCCAAAGACACTCGTGTCACTCTTCTGCCAATTGTTTTCACTCAAATATTTATTAGGGGTATGTAAAACAGCTCGGTTTGCTCATGTCACTGCTATGCAATACTGTTAAGAATACAGCTGGAATTTTTGAAACATTACTTAGGGCACAAATGAGTATTTCTAAACAAACAAAGAAGACAAATAAAAGCAGCAGCGTATACTAACAAGTAACACCAGCAGTCCCAACGTGTGCCACAAAGACAGGAGCATCCCCACATCCCAGCCTGCATACGCTCTGGGGCACTGACTGCTATGTGAGCCATCACGAGTCACGCCAGCTCCATAACATCACACCACAGCCACGGCTTTTCTATGGGGAAGGCCCTATTAGATTTTCAACTGCTGCTTTTATGAGCTTGCTACGGATTTTACACTCAGCAGTAAAACCAATCCCTGGAGTTGGATTTTATCCAACCAAACATTTGTTCCCAATCCACATCACTACAGCGAACAGCGTTATAAATACATTCTACCACGAGCACCAACGCCATATATAGTCTGAAAGAGCTGCAGCTCTCAGCTTTAACGACGTAAGACATCGCTTAGAAAGGGAGAAGCGGAGGCCTGAAGCTTTGGGGTCCATCTGAACACAGACATACACGGCGGCCATACAGAGGAGAGGAGCTCCCTGCACTCATGCAGCCCTTGGGACATCTGTGCACAGCCGGACAGCGCTCTGGTTTGCCAGGATGATCGCAGCCGGTGTGGAACTGAAAGCTGACATTTCCCAGAAAGAATGTGCAAACCGGCTAGTTTTAGCTCTGTGGGGCTTAGCGTTGCTTTTCCTATATGGTGTTTTACTAAATGACATGCTGGAGCTGACTTTTCTCCCATAGCTATAAAAAGAAAGGCGTGATCTGAACGCGCTGGGAACCAGAAACCTTAGACTCCCATATGGACTCAAATGCTGCTTTCCTGCACAACATGGGGAACACACCTTTACTTCACTGATGAGGAAACTGAGGCAAAATGAAGACCGGCCGCTCAACCCTCCCACCAGCTCCTTAGCACAACTCTCACCAAGTGCACGGCGTGCCCTGCACAGCTGCCAAACCCCTCCTCACTATTGCAAAACACGAAGTTACTGACCGTCCTCAGAATCCAAGCCTGCAGTCCCACTAGAGAAATGAATCTTTCTTACTCCTCTATTTGTCATCCTCCCCTAAACTGCCATCAGAGTTACAAATACAACTTCATCTAAACTTCTCGCTTCATCTCCACAGAGGCTCTTACACCGTGCAGCATTCACTTTGAGAGCAAATGAACAAATGAAAACAAAATTATTTTCTCTAGTATTTTCTCTTTCTTTCTTGTGCCTAAGCATTTTTGTTTTTTGTTTTTCCTCTGAAATCAAAATAGGTTTTGCTGCTTTAGTGCTCAAAATAAGCAGTAAAAGCAGTAACACAGAGCAGGTCCGGAACTATGGGCGTTATGAATACCATCTGCAAAGCATGTGAGAACAGGCCAAGATCCAGCCACACAAACGTGACAGAGCACTTACTGCCTCTACATCTGCTTTCACAGACCCAAAGCTGAAACCAGAAGGTTTCCGTGTCTGCAGCTGCAGACAAGCCTCTCAGCACAGATCCAATCTGCTAACACTTTTGATAGTAAATTTCTAGCAGTGGACACCACAGCTTTACTATTTGCCATTATTTCATGGACAACGGACCAAGCAGGTGCCTCTCTTCTACTTCGCTGGAGCCAACTGTTATCGTTAAGTGGTGCAGCTGACACACAAGAGGGAAGGAATGCTATCCAGACGGATCTGGACAGGCTTGAGAAGTGGGCCTATGCCAACCTCATGGAGTTCAACGAGGCCAAGTGCAAGGTCCTGCACCTAGGTTGGGGCAATCCCAAGTACAAATACAGGCTGGGTGGAGAATGGCTTGAGAGCCATCCTGAGGAGGAGCTGGGGGGTGTAGATTGATGACAGATTCAATGTGAGCCAGCAATGTGCTCCTACAGCCCAGAAGGCCAACTGTATCCTGGGTTGCATCAAGGGAATTGCGACCAGTGCGTCGAGGGAGGTGATGCTGCCCCTCTGCTCTTGTGAGACGCCACCTGGAGTACTGTATCAAGTTCTGGGGCCACCAACACAAAAAGGACATGGAACTGTTAAAGCACATCCATGGGAGGGCCACAAAGATGATCAGAGGGTTGGAGCATCTCCCCTGTGAGGACAGGCTGAGAGAGCTGGGGCTCTTCAGCCTGGAGAAGGCTCTGAGGGGACCTTACAGCAGCCTTCTAGTACCTGAAGGGGGGCCTGCAGGACAAGGGGAAATGGCTTTAAACTGGAACAGGATGGATTTAGACTAGATATGAGGAAGCAATTATTTATTATGATGGTGGTGAGACACTGGAACCGACTGACCAGAGAGGCTGTGGATGCTCTCTCCCTGGAAGCATTCCAGGCCATGCTGGATGGGGCTGTGAGCAACCTGGCCTCGAGGGAGGTGCCCTTGCCCATAGCAGGGGGTTGGAACTAGATGATCTTAAAGGTCCCTTCCAACCCAAACAATTCTATGATTCTGTGTAATCACCCAAACCACCCACAGCATCATCATCAAGAGAAAACACTACTCACGAAGAGACCACTCCCTAGTCTTACCTATGACTACCTTGACCTTTGTTTCAATAACGTCACACTGACTTCTGTGCACTTCAAGAGCTTTAATCTGGCAGAAAGGACTTTCAATAACCGGAGATAAGAGTGTATTATAAAAGAATTAATGGTACAGGGCAAATTCACATGGCTCACAGCATGTAAACAATCTGCCTACATTATTAAGAGTTGGAAAAAAAACTAACTCAACTCGGTAAACAAGCTGGATAGCAATTTGATTAGTTTAGAATAGATGCAACTCTCTGAGAATAGCCTATTCCTATGGGCTGTCTAGGATCCAGGCACTACGTATGAAACCCAAGCCCAATTCTGCTGGACTTGTTCTGGTGCTGCCCTAGGGTCAGCTCTGCAAATATTAAACAGGAGAACACACTGCTGGATGCTAAACATTTGATAGAACTAAATGCAATTGCAAGAGTGGGTTTGAGGAGCTGCAGGCGGTAGCTCCAGGCTGGAGGTGAGGGGTCGGGAAGAGCTCAGTGTAATGCCAGCCTTCCAGGTGAGGCTCCCTGCAGAGCTGCAGGCTCCCTTGCATCACTGAGAGAATCAGTGCTCCCTCTGAGCTAGGAAGGCTTCCCTGCTTGAACACACAACTGGAACTTCTGTCTCCTCACACTGATACCAGTGGCCAGGCAGTTTTGGCCAAGTTTAGTTCAGCATGAAGAAGGAAAGCCATGTTTATGCAAAAGCTGAGAGAACTTCACTCTGCACATACCAGCAACAAACATGGCTTTAACTCATTTTCTGAGCAACCAAAGACTGCCTCAACTAATTTTAACAGTATAGAGATTATGAAAAAGTAGGGACTGGGCTTAAAGCATTAATGAATAGACCCCAATCCTTTCAAAAAAAGTGCTACACATAGCAAGCAGAAACCCTCTTTACTTCAATTACCATTTTCAGCCTAATCCTCCACTCAAGACCAACAAAAGACCACAGAGAGTGAGAAATGGTGGACAGCCAACACAGATGTCATCCCAGCGGAAAACCCTGGGGAAAACCCCGGGACCTTCATGATTGAACCTAGAGAAACACTTCCACTCCCAAACTAAAGCTCAAACACTCCCGCTGCACACACATCAGGGGACAGACTCCAACCAAGCAAGCAGAAACTCTCACCTGCCAGACACCACTGCCCATGAAGAATCACGTCAGTGTCACACAGACTGAAATGACAGTGAACTCTCCATGTCTGCCACCAGGAGAAAGTCCACAAAAGAACATCTAGTGAGCCCTCCATGAACACAAAAGCCTTGGCCCACTGGGTCTCAGCTGTGCTCAGTGACTAACATCAGATACCATACACTGATTTGAGGTACCTGCGTCTTTCATTTTTCCCTAATTACACATGACCAACATGCAAGAATTACTCCTTGACAAGACAGTACACATTTTCCCCCAAGCCTGAATTGCTCTCAGCATGGTGTGGCACTTGGCTTTTGCCATACAGCTTTGTCTAGCCATGTCTTCAGGCAAACAAATAAATCTTTGACCAAAGCACCTCAGCAGCTGGGGGAGGGCTTGGCGAACTATGACTTATTTCCTCCTGTATTTGTCATGTCATAACAAGGACTCGCCCAAGGAAAATCCCTCTGATATCTCTGCTTAGGTTCAGCAGATCAAATTCCACTGTGATATCTACAATCTGTAAAAGATCTTGAGTGATCCACCAGCAGCAGAGTAACAGCAGTAACAAATAAATCTCTACTGGGCTTTGCAAAATGTTTGCATTGTGCTGTTGAGGAAGGTCCATAAGCAGCTGAATTCACACGTGTGCAGAGTGAGACTGCTGGGAGAGAAGTTACTCCAACCTCACCAAGGTTAAATGGAGCTGAAGGGAGGGAAGGCATTCAGAGGTGAGATTTGGATGCCACAGCTCAGTATGTGTGACCTGTCCTTGTGACATTTCCACCTGTCCTGGTGAAAGGAGAAGCCCATCTGCATCACCTGGTGGCTCACCCAGCCCAGGACAGAAGCCACTTTTCCGGCTGTGTCCCTCAGAGCCCAGAGGCACACTGCAAGCCCAGGCACAGCTCCTCTGGGAGCGGAATGCTGCAGCACAACTACTCATCCCCACGTCTATTCGGATGCAGCCGACTCATCTCCAGCGCCTGGTGAGACACCCAGCATGC